TATATTTGCAGTAGTTCTCTATGTAAAAAAAAATCATCACAGTCAGTGCTTCATTATAGGGTTGATTCCACAACAACAACAAAATAATAATAATTGTGAAAAGTGCCAGTGTGGGGCGCGTGGCGAAATACGGAAGCAAGAATAATCAGGAAACAAGCTGAGGGATCCTCGAGAATAATGGGATACGACGAAGACGTGGCCCTCGGGCTGGGGATTGCAGGATCCCTCCTCTTCATCCTTGTCGTCGGCGTGTTGTGTCTCGTGTGCTCGTCACGGTTCGTGTCGGCGACGCGTCGAGAAGCTGTCGATTCTCGGGGCAACTGGCGCCGACCCGGAGACCAGGGCCCAGGTTGATTCAAGGGCCACTTTGAAAGAAAAAACCCTCTATCCTCCTATTCCTTTTTTTTTTTTTTTTTGCTCGCCATTCCCCTTGTTCGTGGAAAAAAATCAGCCAGAAGCAAGGGAAACGATGACAACGGAAAACTTACTTGGATTTCACGGTGATGAACATGGGCCACATGCATGCATGCATCATCATCATCCAGCTGGCCGCAGGACTATTTTTTATATTATATACGGAAACTTTCCATTTATTTTTCATTCATTACCGTGTATTCATTCTTTGCTCTACTCTCGATATATATACAGTGAGACCCCCACATGCGGACGCCTCAACATGGGGACATTTATTTTTTTTCAATCATAAAAAAACCAACATGAGGACACTGACTCAACCTGGGGACAGTGCAGGATGAAATTCCAAAATAAATTTTAGGAAAATTGATTTTTATAAGGCTTAATTGCAAGAAACAGATGTTTCCAACCAAAGATCTATGCAAGAAAAATTCTTTGGTACTTTTCCCATCATTTTAATTTTGGAATTTCATCCTGCACTGTCCCCAGGTTGAGTCAGTGTCCTCATGTTGGTTTTTTTTATGATTGAAAAAAAATAAATGTCCCCATGTTGAGGCGTCCGCATCTGGGGGTCTCACTGTATATATATATATATACTGTACATATGTATTCTGTTGTGATTGCTTTGCGTGTTGCTTGTGACAACATGATGAGGACAACTTTTCTCTGGATTGAAATTTTTGAAAACAATAAAAGCGCATATTTTATTCTCTTCAGACTTGATTCTTCCAATGAGTCATTTCTTTTTTTTTTATAATTAAATTTATTTGCACCTCTCATCATTGGAGGCGTGCATTTTTTCTCTCTTGTACGTTGAAGAGCCAAATTTTAAAAGAGATTTTCAGACAGATCAAAATTCATGACTACTGCTGGTATAGGAACTTATCTTCCAAAAAAGAAAAAAACAGCTAAGAAGATTTAATGTATTCTATTATCATTCAATTTGAACCAAGCTTGAATTGAAAGAGAGAGAGGAAAAATTCAACGTGTCACAAAATGAAGGAAATACTTCAAGTATTTCCTGCATACATTACTTCTTAGAAAATAATGTTGACATATTGACAATAATGCAGAAACGCGTGTAAAGTGTTGTTATTTTTTCAAAAAATAGTAATACGAATTATATGTTGAGCATGTACTCAAGTATTAATACATTTTCAAAATGTTACATGTTGAAATTAATGCCAATGTTTTAGAAGTCAGAAAAAAGGTTTTTTTTCTCGCAGTTGGTTTTTTTTGTTTTCTCACTGCTGCTGCTGCGATTGCATATCAATGATGGAATCTTTGGAAACATTTCAGTTTATGTGGGGATTTTTTCAAAGCTCTACTATGCAACATAATTTTATCATATTCCATTTTTTTCCCAGGTCCCAAGGAATTTGCTGTCTCAAGATAATACTAAGTTCTCTCAAATTTCGAATTTGAAGGATGGGACTTGGAATGGCATTTTTTAACAATCCACAAAGTTTTATACAACTCAAGAGAGGCAATATTTTGGTTTTTTTCTGCTCACACCTTTCTAAATTTATTTTGCTTTTGACAGCTTTCAAAATACAGTGCACATCATTGCCCACAATCCACACCAAATTGAAATAGGTAATGCCTGGACAAATTAACTTTTTTTCACATCAGGCTTGACTGAAATCCTGATACTTACAGATGACCAGCAATAATTGTTCAAAGAAAATTTTGACTTCAATTTCCAAAAGATTTATTAGATTTTTGCCAACGAATTTGGTTTTGAAAAAAGTATGTCTCTAGAGTGTTGACTCATATTCTCTTCAATTGCACATGTAATTTGATTTGTTCATGAGACTAAATTTGTGGCAAAAACAATGGTATAATTCCAGTCCTCTTATACAACTTTTTACAGTACTGTACTATGGGTACATTTTTACTCATATCTTCATGGAGAAATTATGTGTCAGGAATTGCAAGTTCTACCCTGTTCAATCCCCATGTAATTCTTTGGTACAACGCAAGAGTAGTGGTAAAATTGTACTGTAAGTGTGACAGGATGGAAATGTTGCAGCTCTGTGAAGGTAAACATTGAAATGTGTTCAAAGTGAATGGCACTGGGTTGTATAAAAGTGTATGGCACAGCATAGGGCACACTCTGCCATTTCTTTCATTGTGCGCCATTGACTTTTACTGAGCTTCACCATTTCCCTGGTGTATGTGTATCTCAGGATTTCTTTGTGCTCCTTGAACTTGCTCAAAAACAATAATATCAGCTGTCATCAAAATACTTTTGGTCATTCCCTTCTTGCTATAGCAGACAATGCACAAGGCAGTTTGCATGTTTGTACTTTCATCTTCCCAATGATGTGCTGCCATGCCAAATCATGCACCAAAAGGTTACACAACCTCACCTTTGAGGTCAGATCTGGGTCTGATCAGCCTTGCCTGATTTCTGACCCCAAAGTGTTTTAAGGCCCATGCCTCTCAATACCTCTTGCATGTTCATTGTGTCTGGGCTATCTGTTGGTTGACTTACATTATTTGTCATTGCCCATAAATTGTTTAAGTACAAAGTAAACAAAGCTATTATTTTATAAAAATTATTGAGGAGTCTTCATTGAATCAGCCTGGCAATAAGCAATAGAAATCTCCTTGTTTTTGAAGTTTTCAGATGTAGATTCAGAATATCTTACAATTTTAAGTATATTCAAGAGTGAGGACTTGAAATCTTCATTCATTATTTGATTATGATCTGATAACACAGCAAAGCTGCAGGGGCATAATTCCTGTAACTCTTGTCTTCTTGGCTTCTTGAGGACATGCATTTGGATCACCACTAGAAAAAAATCATCCATATGCAGCCAATGATGCATTATGGGTTGGCTATTTGTGGTCTCATGCTTCCTGCTTCGTATGCCTGTACAGAATGCGCCCAGTTATTTGCTGGTAAGTTTTTCTGGTACTTTCCTGTTATCTCAGTACCTCATTCCTAGACCACACTACCATCCAGACAAATCTTTAGGACAAGTTCATAATCACAACCTACCAGAAACTGTGAATATTATTTTTCTGCATTCTGAAACTGATTTGGGGAGGTGGTTAGGTAAGTTCGGTTAGGTCAGGTTATGTTAGTTACAAATATCTTTTAATTAACATAACTGGACCTAACCTAACTTTACCTAACCAACTCCCAAAATCAGTTTCAGCAGAAACCCAAGAAAGCAGAAACTGATTTTGGGAGGTGGTTAGGTGAAGTTAGGTTAGGTCAGGTTAAATTGTTCAGAGGGAAGGTACAGAGATAACAGGAAAGTAGGTACTGAGGCGACAGGAAAGTACCGTTTTTCTCCCTTGTATGTACATATACAGGTGTTGTTTATTCTCACCCACCATCACATCACATCAGTCCTGTGTGACAATTTGCTTAAATGTTTTGCAAAATTCACCCTAGCAGAGTTTTGCTCTCCACTCAAAAAATGTGGTGCCCTTCCTGCAGGTTCGTTTTTTTTTTTGGGTAGCCCAGCTTTCCCCTCAGAAGTCTTGAAATCAATGTGGCATTCTTTCTAAGGGTTGCTTCCAGATATTCCAAGGCAATTCTGCCATTTTCATCAACAGCTGCCTTCACTGCCACCACAGTGGTGGCCAATAACTATCATTGTCAAGTCTGTGCAAACTCATTGGGAAAGTATGTGGATATGAAATCACTCGCTATACAGCTCCTTTAAATTTCCATCCTGCATGGAAAAATCACAATAAAAAAGAAGAGAATCTAATTTGGGAATAAGGAGGAGGAAAAGGTCCAATCTGATGGGGAGCTTGAGATGAGAGGTTGGTGGGGAAGCTTGAACATATAACCCCGTGTATTTCCCCAAACTCTTTTATGCAAGGTAACAATGAAACTGCTTCAAGGCAACCTGGAGGTCATGGGATCACAGATGGCATTATTGCTGGCAACAGAGGAAGAACTGAGCTCCAAACTCTGAGCTTGTTGGCTAAAGGAGTAATGTGCTGACAAGGTCCTTGCTGTTTTGAACTAAAGGATCACACACAGAAAAGATGCAATTTGGAAAGCTGGCTTTGTGGATCACTCTGTGGCTCAAATTAAAGAGCTTTTGGAAGAAGCCCAAATGAAACTCAAGGTTTTCTCAGATGAAGTTAAGGCTAGTCAGAGCAAAGGCTGTCAAAATGTACAATTCCAGAAACAGAAATTCAGTCATGTTGCAATGTAGACTGGTGTTGAACTGCAGCAGTAAAAATGCAGCAAAAAGGTTTCTAGATGAAAAACCCATTCATTGAGACTGGGAGTTCTGAATTCCTTGAACTCAATGAAAGACAAACAGTATGGTTACAACCATCCCAGTAAATTATCAATAACACAATGAACAACAGTTGTTTTGATTCATTGTTGCCTGCTTGAAGCTCTCCTGTTCAAATTTGGCCCTTGGGCCACTTCTGAGTTGGGCACCTGCACTGGGTTACAGATACCCATTGAACCCTACCTGGAGGTTTATTTGGAATGTCATTATCTCTCAGATTAATTTTTGCAAAGCTCAGTCAGATTCAAGCCTGACACTATGAAGTTGTTAGTTACCTGTGACATGCCTGACCTGAAACAATGAAATGAAGCATTCGATTCTACCAGGTATCATTATTGCACAAAGCAGCATCATGCACATATCATGAACACCACATTCAACCACACAGCACCATCAATGAACATGACTTAGATCTTCGAGCACCTCCCAATGAAATTCTGAATGTTGACCCACTTCAGCAGGACAAAAAAAGGACATGAGCCATGGCCAAAAGACCATTGAACCAAGAACAAGAAATGGAACATGGGGTATCTATGGTTAAAAATTGCAGTTATGGTTAAATTCACAAAGTTACATTTTTGTGTTGATGATTTGAATAAATTCTGGCTTCAGAGATGCTCCACCAACAAGAAATCCATCAATATCCCCGCCCTTGACAAGATCTTTACAGTTTCCTGCAGTGACAGAGCCTCCGTAAATGATGCGGGTTTTCTCAGCAACAGCAGCACTGACATTGGTTTTCAGCCATTCACGAAGCTTGACATGAACTTCTTGAGCCTTTGTTTGGGAATATCATAACAGGAAAGGTAAATGCGTGGATTAGTGAAATTGTCTATTCAATCTCCCTCACTTGTTCAGGTGAAGCAGTTTTTCCAGTGCCAATCGCCCAAACTGGTTCATAAGCCAGAACAACCTTGTCCCAATCCTTGACTTTATCCGCAATGGCTTTTGTTTGACGGAATACAACAGTTTCAGTTTGCCCACTCTCTCGCTCTTCCAGCTTCTCACCGATGCAAGCAATCACGCTGAGACCTTCTTCCAGGGCATGCACGCATTTGTCAGCAACAATCTAAAGTACAAATGGCGATGAATATGAAAATACCAGCTGATGTAGATTATGTACAGTATACCTCATCAGACTCCCCGAAGATGCTCCGTCTTTCCGAATGACCAAGAATAACCCACTCACATCCCAAATCTTTGATCATGGCAGGCGAGATTTCCCCAGTGAATGCTCCCTTGGAAACTTTGTAGCAGTTCTGTGCAGCCACTCCGAAGTTTGCGGGAAGCTTCTGCCTGGCATAGTCCAAGTAACATTGCGGGGCTCCGCAGACCACCTCTGCGGGCAGAAAATGACGAACAGGGCAGTTACACAAGCAATTCCGTTCCACAAGATTACGGTGATCATACCAGCACTGGAATCAATAGGTCCTGCACTGAGAAATTCAACAATACCATCAATGCCCTTCTTATCTCCATTCATTTTCCAATTACCACCGACAAAGAACTTCCTGTTTGCCATTTTGCCACTAACGCCGGAAAACCTTTCTCGCCGAACAACCGAACACTGCTGCAGACATCAACACATTGAATTAACCGTCATATCACAAATGCAGTCCAATAGAGCAGACAGGGCTTGCATACGTGACCTCCGTCACATCCAGCCATTTCAAGAGTTTTGATGAAGAAACTGCAGAACTACTGTACCTTCGCCACGCGCAATGAATGAGTTAAGCGCAGCCGTATACATATCATGCGAAAGGGCGGCACGTAATTCAGTTCGACACGCGGCATCCTCATGCCCGGAAACAAACCTAGTCCATGTACGATTAAAGCCACAAGGATAAACCATGTGCGAGCCGTTCGTTTGATCAGTGATGAAATATACAGACCGAAAAAATCACCTTATTTCAATCGGGTTGATAAACAAATTACAGGAATTCGAAGGAATAATCGCTTCAAGCAAACAGACATTTCGTATCACAATAAGGTCACATGAGAGGATCCACCAAGCATCCGTTGGCGAGGCACCTTATCGTGTGGGACACAGATACCATGAAGTGGGCGCCGCCATGTTCCATCACTACCTCCCTCTATCCCCCAACTATTTTCATCCCCTTCATGCTGACATCTATGAATGTCACTAGCAAACGCACCTACCTTTCCTTCTCTACCTCTCCCCTATAGAAAGTCCGTGAACCTGATCAGAATACCCCAGGATTGAATTCCAGATTACAGTACAAGTGATCACCGTACGCGGACTTAACAGTGAGTGAGCACAACAATGTTCCTCCATGCCCAGCGCGGAATTGAATGTCCTTGAGTATCTTCACGATGAATCATGGATGACCAGACGGTGCCGCCCACAGAAAAAAAATAAAATAAATATGTAGACCAGCCTGCGTATGAAATACTGTACTGTGCTTTCTGCAGCTTTATTTTTAATGGCCCAAAAATAATGAATAATCAATCAATCAATTAATGGCCTAGGTTAAAGCTAATCATTCCAAAAACTTTTCTGATTTTAAATCCTGAAACTGCACTACTGTATTCCAAAAGGCTTACATATACATTATATCTGAATGAGATATACAGCACTGCATAAAAAAGAACTGCATACATCCTTCTAGATGGAGGATTGCACACTGACAAACTTTTCTTGACTGAAGTAAGAACCAAAACATGTTGATATTGTTATTATAGTGAAAGGTATTAAGTGATTGATACAAATGCAAACCTTTGATAACTTCCAAGAAAATCTACTTTGAATGCCTTTCCTAACCTTTGTTGAAGTAACAATATTTTACTTGAAGATTTTCACATTTTCTGCCATCTTTTAGAGGTCCAGGAAAACTTCCCTCTATGTCACATTCAATTACATAGGGTCTGAGTTGCATTCTTTCCCCAACTTTTTATTGACCTAATGCAGACCAAACCTCCTGCCCCATCTTTTCATGATGGGATGAATCATAAATCACTCATTTTTTCTGGTCTAAAGTAGAAACAGGAAGCAACAGGGGATAAACATTTTCCTGCAAGGTTCTCTCCATTTCAGATTGTGCATGAATTGGATTCATCAAGCCTAGCAATCTTGTCTTTTTTCCAAAAGTGCCCTGCTATTTCCATCTCAGGATGATTCCTTGGATTCATTGTTAATCTCAAAATCTCCTTCTTCATTAATGTTTTCAACTTCCTGATGCTGAATATTCGAGAGTTCTCATTGGACAGATTTGACCATAAAGTTGTATTGCTCTCACTTCATATGACACCTGGCCAAGTCCATTAGGGTCAAACGCATGTACAGTGAGACCTCCACATGCAGACAACTCAAAATGGAGACAATTCAACATAGAGACACTTCTTTTTCAATTTAAAAAAATCATGAGAAAGGCTCAACATAAAGACAATGACTTGACATGAGGAAATTGCATGATAAAATTGACAATAAGTTTTAGGAAAATTGACTTTTATTAGGCTTCATTGGGTGAAACAGATATTTCCAACCCTAAGATGCATGCAAGAAAAATTCTTTGGTACTTTTCCAATTGATTTCCCATCCATTCCACTGATTTAAAAATTACCTATAGCACAGTAGGACTTCCTGCTCTATTGTGACTTGGATGTTATTTTTACTGATGACAACATTTCAAGGAACTGCTGTACAGTGGTATACTATTCAATGCTCCAAATACTCTTATTGGATTGAAAAGATATTCACTGAATAAAATTCAAGTGGCAAAAATTTTCTTTTCATGGAATTCTGGAGAATACTTCTTTCATAAAACACCAATTAAAAATTATATAATGTAAGTCTATGGTAAAACAAGACTTGACTTTGGGACAATTCAACTTAGGGACACTGTTGATGCACCAATTATGTCTGCTTCTGCTGGAGGTCTCACTGTATTAAGTCTGCCTTACACCTCAACTTTATGATACTAAGCCTCCATGCCACCACCAATTTGAAAGCATAAACAGTAGATGTATTCATAAAATGAATAAAATTCTTTCCAACAAATTTTGAATGTAGGTATAACTTCAAATTGTCCTGAAACATATTCCCACCTTTCAAGTGGCTTCTTGCACTGCATGATAATTCCCGCAATTCACAAGGGAAGAGCAGTTTACCAACATAGCATGAAGAAACAGCATGTACCTGGAGTACAATTGTGAATATATATTTGTATTTTGTAAATTGATCAAATCCAGCTACCTTCTTCAATATAATTATTTGTGATGGAAGCATGTCCCATAACTGTGCCACAATGGACTGATTGGAATTCTGTGGAGCGTATTAGTCAAATTTTTGAAGCACATGTTGATAATGTGTACATTTGCTTGTTTCATTCAATATCTTTTTCTTTGAAATCTCAGGTTGAAGACATGGGTTAGTATTTTTGTATGTGATCAGCAAAATTGAGGAAATCAAGACACCTTTCACAATTGGAAGTACTTGTTCTTGCAAGATACACTTTGAGATACAACAGAGCAACAAGAAACAATCAAGCAGTTGCTTATCCAGCACAGATTTTGCCAATTTGAGTAATTGGATGCAGACTTCACAATTGGTTGGCCAATCCTCATCTGTAAATTAGTAAAGGAATTGTATTACAGATGCTTAATTTTGGAAGTTGAAAATCTTCCTACAAGTATACTCACCACTGACAGGCTTCTTTTTCAATTGAGGAATGAGAGAAGGCAGTTGAAAGAAATAGCTCATCATCTTCTGCACCTATTACTTCATGAGAAAATTGAAAGAACCCAGTAAAAAAATCATAAAATTAATTTATGTTGACTACATGTCCATTTTGCAAGGGTTTTTCTTGACTGGACAGGACTTGACATCAGTGTTTTTGGTGGCTCTGCAGCTCCTCTTAGTTCTGGGGAAGGTCCTGCTACATGAGGAAGGAGCATGGCCAGAATTTATCCATAAGCTTCAGCAATAAAAATGATCAATGGGGAAGATTTTGTGAACCTTTTGGATGCCAACAAGCAAGAAAATATGCTTCCGTATGAATCAATTAACATGCAGAGGCATTAAAGAAGTACAGTACTGTACTGTAATCTGCAATGATAATGAAACATTTTGTCACCATCACTTTTTCCTTGAATTTGTACAACATACGAGTTCCTCTATGTTTTGTGTGTCATTTTGCCAGGAAATCTGGAGTAGGTACACCCAGACTGGCCAGAATTTGTGAACCCAATGGACAAAACCTGTTCAAGAGATGTTCAATAAGGTTGCATGAATAAAAGTGAAGTAAAAGCCGGACAATTGTACAATTAGCCACATTTTGGGTAAAATGTATTCCCTTCCAATATTCATTTTTAATACAGTTAAACCTCTGGAAGTCCAATTTCTAGGGACCAGACAAAATTTTACTTTGGGAGGTTTCAACTCAAGGAGGCTTTGATTTATTGTGTCCGGTCAGCCACCAGCCGTTCAAATCACAGTTGCGCACCCACTGGTTGTCAAGCGCCAGTCAGTCCAACCGCCAGCCAGGGCAGTTCTTGGCCTTGCCAATCCCCAGCCCACCAAACTGCGGTTTGGTCACCCAATTGTCGGGGCACTTGAACAATTGGGTGACAAGAATCATGCTGATTTTTTTTCAGAATTAAGTGACCAGAATCATATCCTACCACAGAATTTTTTTTTTTTTGAAATTTCAGCAATGTTAGGTTAGGTTAGGTTAGGTCAGTTTATGTTATGTTAGTTTAGGTTAGGTTAGGTTAGGATATGTTAGGTTAAGCTAGGTTGGGTTTGATGAGTTTTTTCTTTTTGTGAAAATTTGTATAAGATGAAATTTAAAGTTAGGTTGGGTTTGATGAGTTTTTTCTTTTTGTGAAAATTTGTATAAGATGAAATTTTGTCAAAAAAAATAATCTGTGGTAGGATACCATTCTGCTCACCAAATTCTAGAAAGAATCAACATGATTCTTGTCACCCAATTGTTTGGGTGCCCCAACAATTGGGTGACCAGACCGTAATTTGGTGGACTGGGGATTGGCAAGGCCAAGGACTACCCTGGCTGGCGGTTAGACCGACTGGTGCTTGACGACCGGCAGGTGAGCGACCGTGTTTTGAACGGCTGGCGGATGACCCAGTACCTTGATTTATGGAGGTTTCCAGTTGAGGAAAAAAACCTTTTTGTTGTGCAGAGAAGTGAAAATGTTTGGGAAATCATAAATGAGAATATTCTGGGCCAAAACTTGCTCCTTGATGATTTTACACCTTGCTGAACTTGGAGGCAGGGTTTCATTTTCTTTTTTTTTTCAATCCCTCACAAGATGCATTTAGTTATTTGTTTTAATCATTATCTCTTTCATATTTCAAGGAAATAATAACCAGAAGGCCTCAGAAAATTTGACTTACAGAGGTTTTAGAGAAAAATACTTGAAGTTAGGGAGGTTTTTAATGCATTGATTCTATGGGAATTCAGACAGGGACTTGAAAAACATTGACTGAGGGAGGAATTACACTCAGGGAGGTTCACCTGTATATGCTCAGGATCAGACAGTTTAATTTTAACACAAGTCAGGAACTTACAAATTGTAATGATGCTTTACTGCTGATACATTTTTTCATCATTATATTCATGCTGAAGTCAACAAACCAAATCAAAATCTTTCAAAAAATGATTGAATGTTGAGATGTGGATCACCAAGGTCAGAAGTTTGTACTTCAATGAGATAAGAGAACTTGCTTATCCCTATGATTGGGCTGCCAGAACTCCTGTGACTGTGTTGAACATAAGGAATAAGTTTAATTTTAGAAGAAGGGCATACATTATTCAGAGGAGGCTCACACATCCTCTGAATACCATTCAGATAATATGAAATACCAACATCACTCCAGCAGTTATCCTTG